TACCTGTTTCTATTTTTAAGAAAACATCTCTAATGAAGAAAATCTGGGGAGTTCACTTCTATCTTTCTAAAATCTTCAGTTAGTCCATTTTCACAAAATATTTGCTGTATATATGGAATATATCATTAAAGAACTGTGTTCTCATAATCAGACAGGTACATTTATAATGGTTCTTTTTCAAGCAGCAGTTAATCGGCTAGACTTGAAGAAAAAAATAAAAGAAAACACCTCTACCAATTCTGGAGTTTAGCTGTGACAGATGAGTATTTTTAACTCATTCTGGAAAAGAAAATTAATTCCAGAGGTTTAGGAACATGAAATGTAAGAATGAACCTGAAAAAAAAACCTAAGCATCAAAAGTATTATGCAAAGAATGTAAGAAGAAAGGCTGATTAAATATTCTGACCATCTCTAAGTCTGCAAGAGCATCAGCTACAAAGCTGATCATGTTAAAGCTGTCTGACCCTTCTAACTCCACATTATTTTCAAAGACCAAGATACCACATGTTAAAATACATCTGGAGCAAAAACTGGGTAAAATAATGCCTCTCTTTTTTTGGTTGTTCTCCCCAGCAYTCCAGTTTCCATTCTGCTGGGTTTGGTTTGTTTGTCCAAGAAAAGCAAAAGAGTGAATGAAAGTTTACAGTATTTTAAGGAATTCAGTTCACTCTCGCACTCTCAGGAATGTATTTTAGGAAGCAGCAAATGTTCAACAGCAGCACACAATTCTAACAGCAACATCTAATTCCATCTACATTCAGCGGGCCACTAGTAGTTCTACAAACAGATACGCAGTCAATRTCAAAACTAATGAGTTATAGTAGCTATTCTTGTCTGTTTTTCAACCCCACTCATGGTGCAGGGCAATCAACTCACTTCARAGCCATAATTTGTTCTGGGGTTACTGTGGTTCATTTTTATAGAGGGGAACTGTTGAAACCTTACTAAGGAGTTTAGCAAGTTCTCCCTACCTACATAAGTATTCACAGACCTCTYTTTAGTATGAAGCTTTACAAAATTTGATCACAATGAAACTAACTACTGGTTTCCTTACAACGAGTTCTTTCTTCAAACTTCTCTGAAATTTTAAAAACCAGAAAGAMAGAAACTTAGTAAGATATRAAACAATCTTTMAAGARGAGGGAGTTRAAGCTCACTGGRAAGCATCACAATGCTATCTCTAAGRTAGAAACTAAGCTTAAAAGGAAAAGAAGGAAAGAAGATTTCAAAAAATAGTATCTGAAGGAGGATATCACAGATTGKGAAGAACTGATTATTTTGATATTTACTTCCATTGTATCAAGCACCAYAGCTTCCGACAACCACTCTGACGAAAATACAGCATTACTTCCTCTCCGTTTAGACTGAGAGACTTTCTCTGTATAACCTGCTATGTCRGACAGCAAATATAAACCAAMCAAACAAAAACCCCAAAACAAACAAAAATAAAAAGGAGAAGTCTTCATTTTTCTTCCCACCTAAACAGAGCTATTCTCAGTGTCAGGACCGTTCACAGAAAAGCAAGTAAACCCATGCTGCCATTTCTCCAGTCAAATCATTATATTCATATTTAATCCACACAGAGGCCATCATTGCGCTGGCACAGAACACTTTACCTGCAATCAGAACAGGTTTGTTCACTAGTGCCTGAAACATTGGCACAATGATACAAAATTGCGAGATTGAGAGATTGTTGTGAAAGCATCCAGAGTAATTACATTTGCCAGCTTCAAAGCAGAATTAAGCTTGRATACTACAGTTTGCACCAACATTTTTCACGGTAGAAGCACTGTGATGTGCTACCGAAAGCAGTCTGAAACTCAATTTCCATCTGTGATCCAGCARCAGGACTCCTCCCACCAGCACCAGGCTAAGAGGATGCCTAAACTGAATCAAAGAAATTCAGAGTTACTGACAGCCTCACCCAGGCCTGGCTTCCTCTGGAGACTTCAAATAGAAGCACTGTCTGAAATTGAGACTAATTAGCCTACAACTGCTGAAGGAAACGTCGTTAACAGATACATTGTTGAGACCCACATCTTCCCTCTCTCACCACAGCAGGAGCTCTTACCAAAGGATAACATCTGAAGGACACATCCCAGGGACGCACTTACTGCCCCATCTCCATGAGCYATTTCTCCAGAATTCTGTCCAGAACTGACTGGGCTTCAGAGCAATTGTTTAGGGATCTTGCAAAATCAAAATCAGACAGARTTTTGCAAGGCCATAAATTGCAGGGGTGAGCTATCTGCATGTAAAGGTACATTACACAGATCCTTCCTGGAGCAGCTGTTTTCAGAAGCAGAGAGAGGCTATTTATAGAGTGCCACTTGATTGCCAGTTCGAATGAAACTACAACACTGAGTAAATAGGAAACAGCAATTAGTTCTCAGATGTCTTCCTTCAAAACATGGTCGCCGTCGATATTCCTGATATTTTACACTGTGGCGTAACACAACCATCCCAATGAAGGGTTCACTGTGCAAGGACCATTCACATATCTTCCTCCCTACACACTGTGAACTGCATTGCCAGTCAGGGACTTGCTATAATGCTCTTATCCTTTSATTTGGTGGCTGAAAAAGAGCAGCAGGCAATGAAGAAATATATAAATTACCTAATTTTGTGCTGATATCTGTAATTGTTTAAACAAAATTTACAAAAAAATTTGCACAAATAAGCAAAAAATACCCCTGGACAATGCCTCGAGAATCCCAATACCCTTTGTAAGTTAAAATGAAAACCCTGACCTGCATTTGTTCTGTCTGCCAGACGGTTAAAACACTACTTAAAAAATTATAATTAGGAAGAAGCACTACTTCCCATGCAGATGAGATCAGCAGTGACCAACAACAACCTGATCACTGCTGTCTTGACCAGTGGGGCCGAAGAACAAAGCTTCTACATAGAGCTGCTGAAGTCTAAAAGAGAAAAGACCGATACCCACACCGACCTGTACACAAAAAGGCACTACTCTGCTGCCTGGGAAATCTGTGCACCAGCAACCACACATGACTAGCAGTCAAATCAGTGAGTTTATTAAGGCCATAAACGCCATTTTGGGTAAAAGTGCGGTGGCTCCACAAGACAAACACATCCTGTTCCAGCCCTTTCGTGAAAAGCAGGAGTCAGTAAGGACTGAGCATCTCTTACCACCACCAATGCAGATCTCAACATCAATTCCTTGGGAAGGCTCTCCCAGGTCCTATTTTTTTAGGGCTATAAAGCAACCGTTTAAGTTAAAGGAAAAACAGTAAATATGAGACCTTAACCAAGACACCAGAGGAGTTTTGTTTTTAATTAAAGTTATGTGCATTTCATTGGAGCAGCATCCGGAAAAGTAGTGTTGGAAGATGATTTCTACCGATGAAGTCTTAGCACTTCAACTATCAGAGACACAATCATGTAAAAGCAGAAGAAGGAAAAAAAGGGCTTTTTAAATAAGCAGTGCTTTTTCAGAATCTGCAAACTACTGTCCTAACTTTAACATTAAGCTTCTTTGCTCCAACTGGAGCAAACTAAAAAACAAAATCCAGTCAGAAAGATGGATCACTGAAAGTTAGAACAATCCTCAGCTGAAGCTTGGGCAAGCATAACTTGAGACAGAACTAAAGCCAAAGGCAACTAGATCATTAGTTCTCAAACTTTTTTTAAATTTTAGGACTCAAAATTTCTTTCCAAGGGACATACGTGCATTTAGGTGCTGCACACACTCCCCTCTCTCTAATAGGTGGAAAACTACCAGCAATAACCTCAATTTCTTCGATTAACCTTTTGTGGATTGCTGAGTCCTSAGGGACTACAGGCAGAAAACTACTGAGTTGGGCTCGGTAATGTGATATCCCACCTTAAATTCCAGCAGGAAAAAAACAAACGACAAGGCATTACCACCGAGCACAGCCGGGAAAGCCTGGGAGGCACAGAACGACACACACTTTACAGTGCTGTAAATCAAGCTCCATCTCGAGTACTCGAGGTTTCCACTCCAAGGCAGGAATTATTTTGGCACTCGAGCACAAAAGAACGCGTTCCCGACCCAACGAGCCATCTTCCCTGGAGAGCCACCGCATCCCCTCCCAAATCCACAGTGCCACTACGATGGATGGCCACACCTCCAAAAACACCAGAATAAACACTGATTTTAAAATATTTTTTGGTAACGCTTTTTGCGGAACCTGCGCCATGACAAAGAATATCAGTAGTTCCTTCACGCCACAGAAACCTCTCTGCGGCCTCGCAAACTAAAAGTGGCGCTGGCTTTAAGTTGGAAAGTGAAAATACCTGGCTTGGGTGTGGAGGCGAGGGCAGCACGGGGCAGGGGCGCCTGCGGGGAYCCCGCGGTGGCCGCGGAGCACTTGGGGACACAAAGAGCGGCCGCATCGGCCGCACCGAGCGCGTTCCAGCGGCTCAGCTGCTCCCAAAGCCCCGGGAGCACCTCGAGGGAGCCCGGACAGCGGCCGCGCCATGATCCCGGAGGCGTTTACGTGCTTTGTTCCCAGCCCCCGGCAGCTCAGCGCTGGTWAACCCGGACCCTGCCCGGCCCCGGGCACGGAACGCCGACACCGGAGCTATTTTGAGCCGCCGCCCAACTTCACTGTTGGATCTCGGCGTGCAACAGTTCCTTCGGGAAACAAGGGGGGCGGGCGAGCGGAGCCGCGCACCGAGGGACCGGGGGGTCCTGGCGGGCCCCGGACCATCCCCGGGAGARCGGAAGAATGGGGCGGGAACGGGAGGGGCCCCGGAGCACCCCGAGAGCGCGGAGAAACGGGGTGGGGGTACGCCGGAGCATTCCCGAGGGCGCGGAGGGACGGGAGGTGGACTTGGGGAAGGTGTCACCGCCCCACGCGGGGCTCAGGAAACTTCGGAGCTGCGGGACAGCGCGGCCGAGCGGAACAGCAGCGGCGCCTGGAAGGGGCTCCCGACCCCCTCCTCACTTCGTAGGGCGCCAAGGACGGCCGGACCTCGCTCGCACCACCACCCCCCCATACCCTCGCCCTTACCGAGGTAGTGCCTCCGCAGCAATCCAGGCTCCTCCAGCCCCAGGGTCCGCTTCCGCACGTCCCAGAGCAGGTGTGGGCACCGCCCGCGGGACATGGCCCCGCGCAGGCGGGACGGGCGCGCGCGGAGCGGAGGGATGCGCCGGGACCGGCCGGGCGCGCGCGATCACCATGGGAACCGCCGAGCGGGCCCCGAGCGCGCGCCCCGCGCCCGCCTCGCGCCGAGGCACCGACCGCGAGCCCGAGGCGCGGCGGGTCCGGGCCACGCCCACCGCGCGCGGGGCCACGCCCACCCCGCCGAGGGAGCCACGCCCACCGTGAAGGAGGAGGCGCGTAGCCACGAGACTAACAGATGTCTCGCGCGAGCCGGTGACGTCGCCCCGCCCCGGCTGAGGGCAGGGCGCGTCGTGGGCACGGRGGATGACGTCATCGCGCTGGGCTCCGCGGGGTACAAACCCGCCCCCTCTAATGAAGCCTTATGAAGCCGCAAGGTGGCCATCTTGGGTTCGGGCGCATTACTCGCAGTGCAGGGTTCCCCACTGCGGCCATCTTGAGGGGTAGAGGGAAGCGGCGGCGGCGGCCATCACTGAGCCGGGCGCCCGTGCCCTTCCCGAGGGCGGCTGGCGCGCCACCTCTCCTCAGGGGGTGGGGCCAGCGCGCGCAGCCAATAGGGCCGAGCGCACCGCTCCTCCCCGCCGCGCCCCCTGCAGTGTTGACCAGTCAGCGTGCGGGCCGGCCGGTGGGCGGGGTCTGGGCGGAGGAAGGACGGGCGGACGCAACGCGGCCCCCGCAACGCGGCCCCCGCTCGGTCCCCGTTCGCCCCTCAGTCTCCTCTCGGCCCCCGCTCGCCCCGTCCCTCGCCATGGCGGCCGGCGTCGCGGGGCTCCGCGCCTCCTACCACCGCATGCTCGACCGCATCGAGCTTATGCTGCCGCCGCGATTCCGGCCCTTCTACAACCACCCAGCGGGTAACGGGCTGGGGTCACCTTGGCACCCGTTTGGGCCTGCGGGGAGGGCGGGGAGGGGATGTGTCCCCAGCCGGTGGGGCGCGGGATCAGGGCCGCAGTAACACGGTTACGGTGGTTCTGACAGGGGAAAGCGGCCGTGGAGGGGAGTCTTGATCCTTGACGGGGAATTTGTATTTGTGAAGGGAGAATAAGATACAGGCGCGGCACGGGTGGTTCCAGCGGGGATGGATGCGCCGGTGTCACTGTCACGGTACCGCGGGGTAGATCCAGGGGTCGGGTGGGCGGCTAGAGCCCGGCCCAGGGGATCTTATGGGTCTAAAGGGGCCTGGAGGCCTCGCAGACAATTCTTTMAAGAGAATCATGCAATGATTTGGGTTGGAAGGGATATTAAAGACGTTCAGTTCTAACTCTGCCATGGACAGAGAGACTCCTTCCACCAGATTACTCCCAGTCCCATGCAGCCTGGCCTTGGACACTTTTGAGGATGCAGGGGGAAAGCGTTGACAGGGTTTCTCATCATTGAATGTTCCCCGGTGAACTCAAGCAGCCTTTGCCTTTATTTCCTTTCTGGTGAATCCCACACTTAATACCAAAAGCAACTGGTGCCCTTGGGGGATTCGCTGGAGGGCTCCTGTGGGTAAAGAATGTCCCTGGAATGAGCTCCCCTTACCTGACCTACAGTTTACCTTTCCGTGAGCAAACATGGAGGGTTGTGTTATTAGGGAGAAACCTCTTGTAAAATGATCCCCTTCAGTGCCATTTACGTGGTGTTTGTCATGTAAACAAATTGCGTCGGTTGTTAAAACGAGGGCCCGATAAAATCCTGGCATTCCATAGGCTGCTGTCCCCACTGTTTTGTGTCAGTGTCACAGGCATCCTTGACTCTTCACCTACCTGGAATATGCACTGTGAAAAAGGACTTTAGTTTTCAATCAGTTGCCCTATCCTCTTTAAATGGCCCTTTCTTKGAAGGAAAATGGTTGCTCTGAGGAAATCACAGAGTGAAAACTGAAGTTCTCAAAACGTTTGCTTTGTGCTGAATTCACTGGACCAATATATTTAACATTAATGTATTGGTTTTATATCCAAAGAGACAGTATGTCMAAGACACATTCCACCTGTGTGAAATGTGGCAGCTTCCAGATGTTTTTATTGGATACAAGGCCCAGCACTTACTGGGAACATCTCTGTTCCTTCTTCACCAGAGCTGTAGTGGTTAATTGGATAAGGTTTTGGAGGTTCTCTTGCAGTGCTTTTCACTTCACAGAACTGCCCRTGGGCCACTTTTGTTCATCACTATGATGCTGTAATTAATAAATACATTTTCAGGGATTCTGCATCTGTTATACATACATATATATACATCTGTCTATGTACATATATATACATCTGTGTATATATCTGTCACAATCTGTACTGATGGTGTATGAGAAAAGCCACAGCATAAGCACATACAGAAACAACCCCTGCAACTTCTGTTTTAGCCTTGAATGTCTTGAAGGTGTGTCTCTGAGAAAGTTACGCAATAGATGTCACTCTGACTGCAAAAAAAAAGTAGGTTAAAAATAAAGGCTCTTTTTTATCTCTGGTGACATCTAAATCTCTAGTCTAATTCAGGAATATAAGTGTCATTGTCATGAAATTATAAATCACTTGTGAGACATGAAGAACRTGCTTTCTTTTCTGGCACAAAGAAAGGTTCCAGTGAAATAATTGATGCCTGTTGAAAACTGTTTCTTTGGCTGGCATTGCTGGAGGACAGGGGAGAGCCTGGCACACCAGCTGCCTAGGTTGCCATGGGAAAACATGGGCTGAGTTTGTCCTCCCTCCCCTGTGGCCTCTTTGGTTCACTTTGCCTGACTAAACACAAGTTTTCAGCACAAAGACTCCTTCTATTTAATAGAAGTCTTAAATTTCTACAAATTGATCACACACATGATACCCAGATTGGCCTCTGGTATCCCTTTGCTTTTATGTGCTGCTGTCAGATTCATCCTTGAAAATTTCTGTATGTAAGGAGCTGGGAAGAGCTCACCCTGGCTGGGTGCTTGCTGGAGTGCCTGCAGGAGAGGCGCTTGACAGTCTTACCTAATTACAAACTTGGCTTGGTACCTTCCCTGTCTCCAACTGTTCCTTAGTTTTGCAATCAGCAGTTTGAAATGTTGAGTTTTCTATCATTAATAAAAATGAGTGTAAGTCCTCTCAAAAACTCCACTAGTTGTTCARCGAATGTCAGCTTCATAATGTATACTCACCCCACATCCTCTAGTACTCCAGATCTGAATTTGTTTTAGAATAAAATAAATGTTAGTAATTAAAGATACTTCCATGGGGCCTCTGTAAGTCTGATTTGTAACGAGCTGTATTTGCAGCCTGACACTGACATGTAGCAGCTGAAGTTTGTATCTTTAAAGGATAAATATTAAGTTGCATTTATTCAATAATATTAGACAAATTAACGTGCTTGCAGTTATTAAATGCAATTTGAAACTTGATCACAAACGGGGTGGGTTAAGAGGACTTTATGCAAGGCTGCCAAGCCAGTTTTTGTTTCCCAAGTCATGGTTTTAAACTTGAGGGTGATTAAAACTGGAAGTACAAGTAGTTACTGCAAGGTCTTTTAAAGGCTGAATTGTTAGTGAAAAAGTAGTTCTCATAAAAAGCAACCAACCRAAGTCCTGGTGGTTACTTCTGTGTAATATATTACAGTGAAAACTTGGCTTCATTCTGCATGTTACCACAATGATGAGTAGTGATCTAAACATTAATGTTTTTTGATGACATTGGAAAATGTCCTGACTGTCTCCCCAGGGGGGTTGGTACTTTGGATTGTGATCTCTCATTTAAAACTTGGAGCAGAAGTCCCAGATTAATGATTCCTGGCACGACTGTAGGTGTGGTTTTACAGGGCTTTGTTTTAACCAAACAGTTGCTATTTTAGCACCACTGAAAGTTATGTGTATTTGTAAGCAAGTTTTTTTTTTCCCCTGTGTCCATTCCATTGATATTTCTTCCTTCCTTCTGGAGATTTCATCCTCTACCCCCATAATCCTCCTTTGCCTGCTGGTGGATTTGGGGGTGTAGGTTTGATTGGGTGGGGAGCATTGTTTCTGCTAGAAACACTAGTTTCTAGTTTCTAGTGTCTAAGCTGTTGAGAGCTTAGAGGTGAACAAAAACACTGCCCTTGTGACATTTACTACTGCTTTGTTGGGGTTTGTGCTCTCACCTGAACCATCTCATGCCTCTGATTTGGGGAAAGAAGGGGGGACTGGCTCATTACAGTATGAGTAAAAAACATTTTGGAATTTTAGATTACAATATTCAGTTTGCGAAGATAATTATTCTATTAGTCCAATTGAAGAGTAACTTTTAATAATTCTTTGGAAACCTTCTTCCCTATTCCTAGGCCTACTCTTAAGTCTTTTCATTATAAATGCACTTTACCTGCTCTGGTGTCCTCAGTTGCTTAAACATGGACATACAAAATCCTACTCATCTGTTGCAGAAATGTGTGATTACACAATTGAAGGGTGATGCACTGGGTTGGTGAATTATGAGTAYTAGGTGCTAGAGCTTGTAGAGCAGTAAAAACTGCTAATACACACAATTCATTATTTAAAGAAAACAAGCTCCAGAAACAAAACAACACGAACTTACTGTGGGTATTAAACCAGCCATATCTTAACTGAATAATTTAACTTCTTTTCTCCCCTCCTCCCTCAGGTCCCAAAACAGTGTTTTTCTGGGCACCTATTATGAAATGGGTAAGTACAAGATGCCAGCTGGTGCCTGGGTGTCAAGCCCAGGGCAATCTGCAGCAACACATGGAGCAAGTAAGGGWTTCCCAGCAGACACCTGGGACTGCAGACACATTAATACTGAGGCTCTAATTTTTAGCATATGGGGAGGAACAAAATTAGCCTTAGTAACRTATAGCGCAACATACAGGGGATACAGGGTGGAGAAAATACTTTGTGGAAAAATTGTACTTTTCACTGAAAGTTTCACAAAGGCTTTCGCTTGTGAAACATCAACTGTTACTCAAGGTAGGCATGAGCTGGCATAATGCAAGCCTGTTAAAGCTTTTATTTCTTCTGAGATGAGGAATTTGAGAAGTATCTTAAAGAAGCCAATTCCAAAGCCGCACAGCTTGAAGGCAGGCTAAAGCACATCAGAGTGCAAGGTAGTCTTGATATGAAAGACAAAGGCAGCTGCCATCAAGGCCATCAGTGGTGCTCTGCCTCCTGTGAGGTTCTGCTTCCCAACACCCCTGGGCTGTGTTTGTGCCCAAATGATGCAAATGCCTTTTCCTCATTCACTCTACTCCTCTGAGGTCTTGCATTGGTAAAGATAAYACAAGTGATCTCTAAACCCATCACTGACCTCCCTGTTTGATAACAAGCTGCTCTTGCCATTGCCAGCTGGTTTGTAACTTYGCCATTGTGAACCCAAACTTTGTATAGGCCACCGGCAACATACTATACTCTAATCTATAGCTTGGTTTCTTTGTCAGTTGTCTGGAGCTGCAGGAACCGTAGCTGACCCTCCCCCTTCCTCAGAGTTTGTCCCTGGAAACACCCTTCTGAGCCCAAGCACACAGGCAGCAATTCTGTGCCAAGTCCTGGGTGGCAGTCAGGGAATTAAAAGCATTACAACTGTCTTACATATGGGTTTTGTTTTTGTTTTGTTTGGGGCTTTTTTTGTGAACTCATGTAACAGGAACATGAAATTATATTTCCAGTAGAGGGCATAACACAACAAACAAATCAAGCAGTGTCTCTGCTACTAATGTCAAGTAGATCAGCCAAGCTGTTCCTCAATTCACCTGGAAGTTTTCTATTTTTACTTAAATTACATTAAAAAAGAAGCACCTTTACTCCCTTAGATGAAGCTGAATGAAGACTGTATGGGGTCATTTTTACCAGCACTACCTTAGCTGACCTGTGGGAAGAAGGCCCTTATTAGAGAAGCCTCTGCTTGTTGCATGAAAACCAGGGTTGGGTTTTTTTTTTTTTTTTTTCAGCTGCTTTCTTGAGCAGATCTGCTTAAATTAACCTTGTTCTTGAATTAATACAAAACTGCCAGTGGCTGGGATTTTACTGCCACACAGTTGTAGCTGCCATAACTGTGTTCTTTTTCTTACCACAAGGGACTGGAAATGGATGGTATCTCCAGGAGTGTAATTGCTCATATAATGCATCCCATCTCCTGAATAAAGTAGGATAAGCAGCTTAGGTGCTAGAGCTTGTAGAGCAGTAGAAACTGCTTCCCTTTGGAAAGGTGCTGGATCTGTTACAGGAGGTCCCAGACTCACTGATTTTCTTTTCACAGGGTTTGGTGGGTGCTGGACTGGCTGACATGGCCAGACCAGCAGAAAAGCTCAGCACAGCACAGTCTGCAGTACTWATGGCCACAGGTAAAGCCACACTTACTCCATGTTTTTTACATAGCACCCTCTGAATCTTCCATCATTACTAATCCACTTCTGCAGAAAGCCTTAACTGTAACATGCTAGCTCTCATTGTTGCTGTTGGATGATAATTCTAGGACAGACCTCTACTTGGTATTAAATCAATAAGAGTTCTGTAATCATGTAACAGTTTTCTACACGTCTTAATTTGGCATTGTTCAGAGCAAGTTGCTGCAAGTTGGGACTTAAGTGTCATCCCTTAAATTACTGTGATACCACTCAGTGCAGTAAGTGACTTCTTTTGCTTCAGATCAACTAATTTTGAAGTCCAGGATATAGTGACTTTTTAAGAACAGACTTTAAGGGATTTAAGAATGGTAGGGAATTAGACTAATATGTGTGGAAAGAATTTCCAAGCATTACAAGAGGTAAGCACTGGCATGTGGACCTCTGCACTGCTGCCAAGAATTTTCACACTGGCAGAAACAGTATTCTGTAATCCTAGAATCATTTAGCTTGGAAAAGACTTTGAAGATCATAGACTCCAACCATTAACTAAGCACTTCCAAGTCCAGCACTAAAACATGTCTCTAAGTGGCACGTCTACACATCCTGTAAACACCTCCAGGGATGATGCTCCACCAGTGCTTTCCCTGTCTGAAAGGATTCTCCAGACTTTAGTTTGATATCTGACACAGTGCTATGCATTTTGCGTACGTTTTGCATAAGTCTTTCTTGATTGATGGATTCTGTAATTTCCAATCTAGTGCAGCAAGCTGGAAATACAGCAAAATACTACTACCCTGCAACTCTGCTGSAGAGTGAAGGTCTAGGCTGCTGCAGAGTACAGAGGATCTTTGTTTGATATTCAGAATATGATTGACCTTACAGTAGCTATTTTAGAAAAACACAGTATATCCCTGTAGACATCCCACTGGCACTTGTTGCACTTTTCCCTGAGAAAGAGGTAGTTAGAAGAACTAATATGAAGTTGTAAATTTTGTTTACTTGAACTGGTCCATAAATCTGCCTCCAAACTTAGGGAAATGTCTGAGTATTTCACTTCAAAGGCTTAAAGATCTTTAAACTTTCCATTCTATTCAACAGGCCTTATTTGGTCACGGTACTCTCTAGTTATTATTCCTAAAAACTGGAGTCTGTTCGCTGTGAACTTCTTTGTTGGCTGTGCTGGTGGCTCCCAGCTCTACCGAATATGGAGGTATGTATTACAAAGGATACAACTACAACTAAGCATTAACCAGAAATTTATAAATGCTGCCAGCCTCTCTGTGCAACAGGCAAGAGGAACTGAGCCATTCATTAAACATTACAGAACATTTTTGCTACTTAGTTGGTTTTACAGTTAAGTTCGAGTGAAGCTTTATATATTTTCAGTCCAGCTAAAGCAGCATTGAATTGTGACAGTTCCAGATGGATCAAAGTATTCTTAAGCAGAGATTTTTTTTTTCTTTCTTGAAGGAAACTTTGGGAGTTTTCTGGTTTTAGTACTGGCCAGGAATGTGGCAAACTTAGCTACTTTGGAACGTCCTACATGAATTAAGCTATCCTACCCTGAGTTTCCACCCTCAAATCCATTGTAATTTTAAACCGCCTCTGCTGAACAGATTGCTGGGAAAAAGTTACTGTATCTGGTATTCTATTCTATTCTTAGCCTGTGCTTTGTTTTTCCTATAGGTATAAACGGGAACTAAAAGCAAAAGAGCAGCCACAGTGAAAACAGACTTAACCCAACAGGTCAAATCTATCAACGCACAAACCCATCCCCATGGGACCTAGCTTAACTAACTTTAATGTTTTCTTTTTTCCTCTGAAAAAATGGAACAGGTAATTTAAATATTTAGAGAACAAATGTTTTCTAAGTGCAAATAACAAAGTATCTCCACACATTTAAATAAAGGGCGACCTTTTAAAATGAAGCTAAATTGTGTTTCTTGTATTGTTTCTTTAAAGAAACTGACTGGATTTTGCCTAAAAAGAGTTGCTGAGCCTCACCTTACCTGACTCCACTGAACAGTGCTGGGAGTGACACAGTACTGGTGACAGCCAGTCTCAGACTGAAGTGATCTTTTCTGTCACAGTCAGGAAACCACCTGGGTGGGGGTTTGCCACGTTTCAGTAATCAACAGTAGTATTTGCATTTCATTTCCTGATGCTCTTCCTTCCCTGGAAGCATAAGGATATTCATCATCCGCTGTGTGTATCATCATTTGTTTCCCAGCCACCACTGTCCTGAACAAAAGGACAGCAAACAAATGTGCCACTGGTGTTTTAGCTTCTGCCATCCTTCACAATTCGAGGCATAAGATGTGGGCATTGGAGCACCAGACTCAGGAATTCATATGTAGGGGAGAAGATAACTGAGACAAAGCAAATTCTGATGAGTCTATCAGCTCCCCTTTTTCAAAGGCTATCCCACCATGAAGCTAGTTGCATGTTCTGCCAAGTTCCACCTGCATTTCTTGGTTCTTCTGGCTGAAGCAGTAAGGCAGGGTCTCAAATGGTGAGTTCTCCAGCTGTGTTGGTCATTGAGCAGACACAGACTGCAAGTGACTGAAGAATACTGCCAGGGAGAGAGGTGGTGTATGTCAGTCCCCCTCCCTTCCCAGTCCCCAACCAGGTAAGACTCATCCAGCAAGCCAGTAATGGGAAAAAAAAAGTGTATTAAAATATTCACAAGATTACAATAGAAAACATTAAAGTCCATTCAAGAAAAAATATCCAAGATAACTGTTTCCAGATGAGTCTGTAAAAGCAAAAGCACTAACAGTTGGTACACTGGCTCTTCTTTGTGATCAGGCCATGCAATGCATATCTAGCTCCCTCACATGGATTATACACCTGTCTTACAGGTGTTTGTTGTCTTGCACACCTCCAGGACAGAGGTTTATAAAAGRAAAGTACCCAGTCTATGTTTTCAATTACATTTACCACATAAGAACGGTTGGCATTGCAGGGAGACAGAAAACATTGCACAGCACACTGATTTCCAAAGGCATTGAACTTAGATTTTAGAGTGCAAAAATACCTGTAAATAAAAGGGCTTATTAGCTTTAGGGCAGTGAAGAGAATGGAAAGAGAAGCCTAAAGAAGAGTATAATGGCTGAGCATAGTTAATATGATTTTGTAGTCTCCCATATAAAAATGTTACACTGCAGARGTGTGGCCACAGCCCAGAAGTCTTACCCACCTTCTCTTTTTTGGTGGTTTAATGGAGAAAATATTTCCATCACCTATGATACAATAAGAGCATTTTGTATTTGAGATCCTTGGTAGTTACACTAATAATGTAGAATTCCAAGATTCCATTAGAGAGTGAAGGTGTCCTGGTTACAACTCAAACAGTCCATACCTGACCTCAGTGAATCCACTCTTAAGGCCATGCAGCTTTCAAGTTGCATATACACCTTTACTGCAGTTGTAAGACAGATGGTTACCTAGACAATTAGGTGTTTAAAAAGTTTAAAAACTCGATTACAGCTCTTCTGGTCACCAACTGMAATACCACTAGAGCTTTGAGAGAAAACAAAACCCTACAGATCTCTGGCTATAAACAACACATCAGGCAGTGAGTTACAGGGACATAGCTGCCCCCCTGTAATGGCTCTTAATGCTRTTTTGTGAACACGGTGAGCATCTTCCTCACAGAACAACTGCTGAAGTCGAAAGGGGCCATGGAAACCTGATGGAATGAGTATAGCTACCAATTTACTTTGGTACCTAATTTGTAATCCTTTTGAAATTCATTAATGGTAATCAAAAACAAGGAAGATTTCAGATTGATCCCAGTTTTGTTTGCATGATGAATGAAAGAATTTATGGCAAGTCTTTTCCATCACACAGGCCTTCCCGGGTCCACTATCCAGRAGCAATGACCCACCAAACTATTTTAGTCACTGGCTACTGCCTCAAGAAAGGTGCCTACTCCTCCACTGGGCTGCTGCAAGCCTGGCATGCAGCATTTGTCTTGAAAAGGGATGGTCCTAAAAAGAGCTGGCAACGGTGCAACAACAGGACATGGACAACACCCTTTGTGTTCATCAAAGTTCAAGCTGTTCTTACCCACCTGCAAGGAGCAGCATCAGAGAATCAGAAACAGCAGCAGAGMAAACAGAGTTAAACTTCTGCTCACCACAACATAAAGATATGATGACYTTGTCTGACTTTAATCTCTGCTTGCTCTACCCATCAAGGAAGTAGAAGTCCTCTGTCGCCTGAGACTTGACTTTACTCCTGAGTAAGCTAACTCAGCATCAGTGCCTTCCATCAGARCATGTTATCCTATCATTAAACAATCTAAGATAACCTGAGGAACAGAAAGTTTACAAGCATTGTCTCACAATGCCTGAAGTTCTTTTGACTTCAGCACAAATATGTTGCTTAATAGTTACATTGCTCACTTTTCCATAACAAAAAAAAAAAAAAAAAAAAAAAAAAAAAAAAAAAGGGAAAAAAGGAAATATAAAAAAAAAAAAATTAACAAAAAAAANAAAAAAGGAAATATAAAAAAAATAAAATTAACAAAAAAAATCAACATCCTTGGCACTGGAGAGGGACTCAGACAGATTTCTGCCATTCCTGGGGGAAGACTTCTTTTTCTTTCTAAAACRATGTTCAGCGATTTTTAAAAACACTTCCAAGTTCATTCTGCCTTCATAAAGARGACCCAAGCAGCATTGCAAGAACATCCTCGGTCTAGGCAACATGAACATAACTGTAGCTGGACAGAAACCATGCAAGGAGATGTTTCCTTAAATCAATTAACATCAGCCAGATCAGTGTGTCTCCTAAAGTTAGCACCAGATCAGTCCTAAAGTTAGCACCAGATTCGTGTGCTTCCTAAAGTTAGCACCACATCAGAATTGTGCTCAGGTTCTCCAGTACATTCCAGCAGGAAAAGATGCAAACATTAGTAGCAGACTTCAGAGGCAAGGCCAGCCCCATCTTCTCATARCAGCAAGTTTCTGATTGCCACAATCATCCAATTCTCCCTCTTGCTCAAAAGTATCAGGAGAGAAAGATGGTGATGTGCAGGGATGAACACAGGCAGATCAAAATCAAGTTTTTCCATCAACCACATCCAAAGCATTAGTGTTTTATTAAGTGTAAAATAAATATTGGGAACTAACAGCCTGATAGGTAAGGGAAGCAGCAGCAGCAGGATTCCTCCTGATCTTAATAATAACATATGCTGGATTTAAAGGGACCCATCAGGATCATCAAGTCCAACTCCTGGCTCTAGGCAGGACACCCCAAGAATCACACCATGTGCCTGAGAGCATTGTCCAAACACTTCTTGAACTCTCTGGGTCAGCTGTGACCACTGCCCTGGGGACCCTGTTCCAGTGCTCAGCCACCCTCTGGGTGAAAAACATTTTCCTGATATCCAACCTAAACCTCCCCTGACTCAAGCTTCGTGTCATTCCCTCAGATCCTGGGCACCAGAGTGAGGAGATTGGTACCTGCCCCTCTGCTTCCCCTCCTGAGGACATTGAAGACCTCAATCTCCTCTTCCCCAGGCTGAGCAGACCAAGTGACCTCAGCCATCTGTCACAAGGCTTCCCCTCCTATCCCTCCACGTGGCCTCCTTTGAACACTCTTCATTCTTGTGGTGCCAGAACTGTCCCCAGGACAGGAGGTGAGGCTGCCCCAGCCCAGATCAGAGTGGGACAATCCCCTCCCTTGCCTGGCTGGCCATGCTGTCCCTGATGTCCCCAGGACAGGGATGTCCCTCCTGGCTGCCAGGGCACTGCTGACTCCTGTTCAACCGGCCATGGACCAGGACCCCCAGGTCCCCTTCCACAGCTTCTGCTCTCCAGCCTCTCCTTCCCCAGGCTGTGCACACATCCAGGGTCACCCTGTGCCAGGTGCAGAATCCAGCACTTGAGAAGATCCAACAGAATCACAGAATCACAGACTGATTTGGGTTGGAAGGGACCTTGAAGATCACACAGTTCCAACCCCTCTGCCATGGGCAGGGACACTTCCACTAGACCAGGTTGCTCAGAGCCCCATCCAGCCTGACCCTGAACACTTCCAGGACACATTTCCTGTGGCTGCCCACTTCAGGGGCAGCCACAACTTCTCTGGGCAACCTGTGCCAGCAGCTCATCATCTTCTGAGTAAAGAATTTCCTGGCTACAGTCACCAATATGAGCACTGCAGCAACCAACATAGTGGATTTTATCAACAGATAGAAGCTTGAGTTGACAAACTACCCCTGTGTGTGTCTGGGGTGAGTAGGTCCCACTCCATCAGCTTCCAGCACCAGGTACAAGCACCATAGCCCTTCATATGGAGTCTTGTTAAAATCCCTGTTTAATCCATGAATTAGAAGAAGATGTTTAAAGGTCTTCTGTGAAGAAGAAATTTGYCCATTTTTCATCTTACATGCATTATTGCCAATAATAAAATGCCAAAATATTTACAGAGCTGCAATGGTTAGTGAGCCATAGCTCAGTGTCTCAGTTCTCCACGAGACTTGGCAAATACCTGAAAAGTGATGCCTTTAAAATTTTCTTTAAAATTGAAACATATCCTTTTTTTTTATATATCAGCCAAGTCTTGGAAGAAGAATTACACAAATTCRGATATTGCAGGATTAGCAGCTGATATATGGCAGAATAAATTAATCCATGGTTTCCTTCTGAGCCTCAGTTTTTAAGAAGCTGGTTCTAGCTTTGATAAGAATGTTGTAAAATCTACCCAGTGCACGTATACAAAAATAAAGCTGTTGAATTCTAAAAAAGGCAGGTGTTATTATGAAAGCAATGATGCCTGATCCTGATGAAAGAATATAGTGTTGGCATACTTAACTTTGTCAGAAAAAAAAACCCCACTGTGCACAAAATAGTTATTAAAATTGCACTGTCATAATTAAAGGATTATTTAATGTGGTTCTGAAAGGGTCTGCCATTGCCCTGTAACTATTTTTCATGTGCTTGATGGTACAGTGGACTGTAGGCTTGAGTTTTTTTGGAACAGGTTGCCTAGAGATGCTGTAGAGCTCCCACCTGAGGAGATGCTCAAAGCTGGGCACAGTGCTGGGCAGCCTGYTCTGGCTGACTCTGCTTGAGGAAGACTGGATAATCTCCAGAAGTCCCTTCTAACCTCAACCATTCTGTGAGTGATTCTGTGAAACAGACTGAACTAGGAAATGGRTAAGAGTTAAAGTAAAAAGGTTACGACAGACCAAACTGAAAATYATTTGCTGCCAAAAACCTCAAAACKAAAACCAATACATTAGGACATACAAAACAGAAATCCTTCTTCTATATGCTACTCTGAGAAGATCTCTGCTGGAAGGCCACTTCTAGTTTTGAGCACCTGATTTCAGGATACAGTGGGTCAACAAAAGAAATCCTCATCAGCAGAGATCCTTAACAATCTAGGAGTAGTTTAACCTAGAAACAAGAAGCTGGGAAATTGTATTCAAGCAGTAGACTTGCAGAGATGAAGGAAATKAGCTGCCCATCCATATCTTCTGTGCAAATATAGGTTACACAAAAAAAACACACATCAGAAAAACCAAGAGTCCTAGATTTCCTCCAGAAGTCATTCRGACTCCACTACAGGCTTTCAAGAACAAATAAAGCACCTCCAAGGAGGTGACAGTGGTGTAATGGAGCCATGGGAGAGAGGTATGGGGGTACTACAGCTTCCAGATCCCTTGGCGCCCTTAACRCTTACATGAAATGACAGAGCTTTGAGGAAGAAACATTTCAATGAAAGGTTCAACAGAGTCTGAGGTACCACCTACATCTATGCCTTTAACTGACTATCTCCTTCGTTTTCACAGGTAAATTACCATTTCACAAAATTCATTAGATCAACACTATCCCTGCACTTTAAAGGACTAAGCTTGAATAGCTGGGCTCATCGAGAAGTAAACAGTTCTGTGACCCACATTAAACAGGTCAGGTAGGCCTAGAGATTTCCTTCACTCACACTGCTAAGACACACATTTCTGATAGCTAAGAGTMATAATTTGGCTTACAAGACCAAGTGAGAGGGTCTAGTTTACRTGAGAAGGCAGTCTGCACTGAGAATCTGACCAAGGAAAGATAAATACCCTGTATACATAAAGAATTCTGAATATAAAGAAGATGTCTTCTTTATAGTCACCTCAACAAAAGAAATTAGGCCCTATAAGCAAAGAAAAAAGAATCTCCAGGTCAATTTAGAATCTTCAGGCATCTTCCAGTTTCTCCATTAATAATCAAGATAAAAATATTTTAAAATTGTGATGCGAGTTTTCACTTTCTCTCTCGTCACACAAGATACAAAAAAAAAAGAATATTGGCAATTTATAAGCAAATTCTTACCGCATTTGAACATGCAACATTGGTCTCACTTCTGTACGATTAAATAGACTATTTACACACAATACATATATATCTCTCCCTCTGTATGCACATGCATTGGTCCTAGCCTAGGCATCAAAGGCCACATGTGAGTTCTCTGGGTCAAATCTTGCTCAAGCAATTCCAGTCTGAATGTTTGTTGTCCTTTGGATAGCTGAGGATCTCAGTTCTTCCGAATGTCGGCGTAGACCACAGACTCTGACTTGTTGATCTTGTCGCTGTGCTGTCCCCCGGAGTGATCTAACTGCGCGTAAATGACTGGGCCCTGGGGACACAACGGAGAGGCACAATCAGGCTTTTTCAGAACACAYCACACTGCCCCTCACTCCTGCGAGGGCTGCAGCAAGATGAAAGCTAAGGCAAGACCACAGAGCATTGATGACTGCGAACGTCACTTGGAAGCAGGTGGAATGAACCCTCAAGCTGCACATGAGCTCTAGTCTGCCACCTTTCTCCTCTCAGGAGCATGCCAAACAGCAACCTTGCCTCCTTCCAAGGCTGCTTTCATCCCACAGAAAGCAAAACCTGGGATCCCTTGCTCTTAAAAGCAGCAATTCTTATGTGCTGTGGAGCAAAGACACTGGCTTATTCAGATGCATGCCAGATTTAATAATGTTCAAGAGGAAGTGTACTAGACGTTTACCAGTCAACAGCAGAGCGTGCTTCCCCTAACTGCTGCTCAGGTCCTGGAAATCCCAGCATGGCTGTACCAATMAGGGAGAGGATAAACCAGCAGCCACCCTGGGACTCAAGCCCAAGTAAATGATGGAGCCAAGATTCACAGAGCAGTGTGCCAGAAAGTCCTAAAATGGTGCAGCAATACCAGATTCTTACCTGATTTCTGAGCCAGCCCAGGCAGCAGCAGCTCACAGACACCTTGGGCAGGCACAGCCACACATCTTYGTGACATTTGCTGGGGTGCAGGGGAGGACATTACAGCCCTGTCTCGTAGCTGAGAGTGAAAACAAACTGGCACCTCCCTAAAACACCACATCCTTCAAAACACAGCCCACAGGAAACCCAACTGCAGCTCCTGAAGACAGGCTGAGGACAGGACCGGAGCCTCCACAGAGCAGGGGTCCAGCAAGACAGGTGAGACCTCGATGCCAAGAGACCTGCAGCTCCCACACTGAAACCGCAAAGTGAGACAAGCAGAGGGCACATAAATGCCACCACCTACCAGGTGACCTCAGCAGAGTGACCACACACCCCATGCAGGAGGGAAAGGGACAGTACTATCTGGGGATGGGGSGAGGGGGGAATTACAAAGAGAGAGCTTTTAGTTTGGTTGTGGCTTTTTCAGCACTTTTWCTTCAAAACATTTCATCCATTTAACCATTCTGGTTCTCCTTATATCCCAGGAAAAAGTAGCTTTCATTGGCATTTCTACACCCTTCTTGCCAATACTTTTGTAATCCTGACAAATTAGAAAACATTTTTATGGACCCAACAAAGAAATCTTTCCATCTGTCTTCCAAATTACAAGCCAGAGATGAGAAGAGACCTTCTGTACAGAAAATTAAGCCCTTGAAGRACCATAGGTACCTTCCTGCATGACTGTTTCCCACACAGCATAGTAGCAAAGCACACACCTGATAAACACCTTGTTCTTTTTCAGAAGTAATTTAAATCCGCACTTTCTTCCTTCTGGGTAAAGTATTTCCAAAGTAATAAAGAGCAGAGGAAGAAGATGGACTGAAAGGTGAAAACTTGCAAATATAAACAACAAACTGAGAAAATGGGGAAAAAAAGGACACTGATGTCCTATAAAACTCTGGATTTCAAATCTCATTACAAACACTTTTTTTTTAGTTCTCTGCTATTTGCTTTCACATTGTTCTGATCTCCAACATTGTATTGAGATTACTAATTCCAATCAGAGCAGAGTATCTATAGAAACTTCCAAGGCCAAGTAACCCTCAATTTTAATTCAAAGCATTTTTGGAAGTCTTATCTGTCTGAGACGGGAGGTCAAGGGTATGCTAAACTCAGTTTGAGAGCACTACCAGTTTAAAAAAAAAAGAAAAAAAAAATACAGCCAATAAATCTAACTGCATAAAGTACTCACTATGACATTCCAAATTTTGTTCAAGTAATTCTGATGGGTCAATTTTCTACCACAGGTGTTCACTCAGTATCAGTTCCGATGAGTCTAGGTTTATGCTAGTTTAAATATAGTTATTCTGCTGCAAACAGCATGTTAGTGATGTGGAGAGATTGCCTAATCAGCTGATCCAAACCAAGTTATCATTGTCTCAATGTGTTCACTGTCAGTCACCTAAAAAAAGTGGTAGATCCCTAACACAGAGGAAAGGAGGAACCAAGGATTTATTACAGTGCACATCTATTCCATTTGCTGCCAATTGATTCTCTAGCTGACTATAAGCATTGCTTGGGCCATTTTAAAAAATAGTCTAAATAATTCAGAACTTTCATCTGATCCCTAGTAAATTCATCCTGACTCTTCAGAATCAAAAAACAGACAAGCACTAATATATAAAACCAGCATTTCCCAAAGCCTTGCAATTTTTCCATTCAGAACTGAAGCAGAAAGAATAGCAGATGTACCTGCWAAGGGTTTGTCAGCAGAGCCATGAATTGCAAGTTACAGCAAAGAAAAAGGAATTACAAAACCAGACCTTCATGGCCCAACAGGAGTCTGAAGAATTTTCAAATTTTTTAGATTCTGATCAATGTTGCAACTACCATGGATTCTAGCTCCAGGAAAATTATCTGAAATTTAAATCAAGATTCCTGGCATCATGAACTGCTCCTTCTCAGGGTCCTGGGATCCAAACAAGGACATCCATGTGGGAAATCCATGTAGTTCTTGCCTTCACTGGAAAGAATTTCTTACCCACGCCAGTAACAGTCCTGACAGAAGAGCAGTCACTAAGGAATGATGGCACGGACAACAACCACCAGAGACAAATCTGACAGGACAGCACATACCTGAGAAGGAGGGCACAGTGAAAACAAGTGGAGCAGATTCAGGCAGCCAAAAATGCACACATTCAGATAGGCAAATTCCAGAAAGCAAGGGCCACACCTGAGAAACTTGGACCCAAAACACCAAGGAAGTGCAGACTCAGCACTTTCAGTTCAGATGTGATGCAGACAAATACTCCATCACTGATTCTTGAACTGATACATAAATTTAAAAAATGAATAAAATTCATTTAATTAATTTAAATGCCACTCTTTAAGAGTGAACACCTCTGTTTTTAATTTGCAGAGGCAGGAGTTTTGTTTGTATTCACAGTTCTTTTCCACCAGTGACGCACAAAGCATTCACTCACTTCCTACACATCTGAACCTTGTAAAAAGCTACAAGGAAGACCACAGGCCTCTGCTGTTTGACTAAAGCACTGAGAGTGGGGACCACTGATCTGAATCTGCCAGGCATTCCAAGAGAAAGGAGTGTGCCTGAATGAGCAAGCAGCCTGAAACAGCTTTGGGAAYTGCTAGGAATGAGTATCTGCCTTTCACCTACACAACATCTCAAAAGCTTGAATACTACAACTCATTTCCTGATTATCAAGAAACACCAAGTTTTATCTATGATGCTAGATTTCAAATATGTTGATTTGCATGCTGATATGAGCCTTAGGAAAACAACCAAACAATTGTTAGAAATTAAAAATATAAGCATAATCAAATTAAATTTTATTTTCTCATGGATCCAAATAGCCTGTTCAAAATCTGATCAACCCTGATTTCACTCTGCATCCTTTTAAAGAAAAGTARATATGTTTACTTGTTCAGTAAAGATAGGGCAAATGTTTAACAGGAGGCAGAGGAACCATTTGCTGCTACAAATGTCTGCCAAGAAAAGAAATTCTCTTTGCCTGACAAAAGAGATTAAAAAATAAAAAAAAAACTAAACAAAACTAAACAAAACAAAAGCCATTTTCAGTATTTTTCTGTTGGAGACAGCAGTAGTCACACTTTGTGTTTAACCTTTAGGAACTCACCTGCAGGGAGAACTCTGTCAATGAACAAACAGGCCAGTGTGACTACAGAAAGGCAAAAGTACACTGATTCTGAGTTAACATTAACGTTACAAAGTTAAGATTTATTCTGCTGCTCTTTCCAGCAGACTGAGACACAGAGCACTGGGGGCATGGAAGGGGGRGGAGACTGCAAGTTTTCACACCAAAACATTGGAGTATTTTTGCCTTCAATATGCAAGCACAGAACAACATCTGTGTGTAGCTCTCAGACCACTTGCATGTACTCCTTCACACCATGACAGTAATTAGATAAAACATCTATGGATGTTGACTCCAAGAGTTCAAGAGCTACTGCATCATAAATCCCACAATTTTTTACTTGTTTTTTAAAGGGGGGATGATGAGAATCACCTATCTCATTCATCCCTTCCAGAAGCACCTCCCATGRTCTAGAAAAGTCAAGCTTTATCTAGGCCTTATAGGCAGCCTGCTGCTACTAGACCCGTTCCAGTCAAAATCTGAACTATTTTAAAATCCTGAATATATGGCCTCTGTGCTCAGAGAATAACTAATATGTGAAGTCAGAAGCCAGCTTTGTGGACCTCTGTGCTAAACCTCTGGAAATAYTGCATGGGCCAGAGCAAAAGGCATTTCAGCACCCAGCTGGAAGCCCAGCAGAGTAGGAGCTTTGACTTCATTGTGAGCACATTTGGTTTTTTCCTGTAGTGTTAATACATTAACAGATATCTCCATTATTTTGTCAGGAGAAATTAAGAATCTGGGTATTCGCTTGCACATACTACACTGCAGCCAGTTGCTAAAAGGTGTTCAATTAAGAAGTCCACTTTGAACTTAAACTCTCACAGGACCTGTAATCTCCATAGGAAGATTGCTGGGGAATACACAAATCAAGAAGTGAGAAACAGCTTTCAAATAAGGAAATCCCATACACTGTTAACAGGTATTGAGTAGAATCCCTGTCTGACTCATTCTCTCTCCCTTTCCATGGGACGCTAAATCTGGAAAAGAGACACTTTTCCCCTTCAAAGTCAGTAGAAATCCGCCAACTGCAGCAAGAACAAAGAGTGGCAGTTTCAAACCCACAGAAGTTGGGAGACTCAGCAGAAGAGAGCTCTCAGCAGCACGAGTCATCTGCAGGCTGCCCWGCCAGCGTCTAGCTCCTCTCCTTGTGAAGGAAGGACATGCCATGGAGCATGAGAGAGTGACACAAATTCCCCCCCATTACCATCCCAGAAGAGATGAAGTAGCTTTATGGGGTGATTACATTGCCTTGTGTCTGTGTTAAACAGACTGTCCACGCCTCATTCTTTCCAGGCTCTCAACCTCACATTTCACTGCCTCCTCTGTATGTTAATGCACAAGACCATAACCATGTTTTTTTTTATCATTTAGTATGAAAACGGCATAAAACTCCATCTCAGCCAGTACAAAGATGCTGCTCTTTCAAGTGCATTAAGCCTTCTTCAGCAGAGYTCAGCTTCACCAGCCCTGGCTTGCTGTGCACCCCTTGTCCAAAGCACGCACTTTTACCATCCCTAATGGATGTATCCCACCCTGCCTTGATGTTTTCCATAGCAGCTGCCCCAGGCTGGGGGGAATCCTGCCTCGGGGAGCAGCAGGAAGCAGTTTACCTGGTGTGATCTGGCGGGCACGCTGTTTACCAGGCCCTCTGTGTCGGAGGGCGCCTTCTGCGGAGCCTGCTTAACCGGAGACATCAAGCTCTCAGAGGTACTGCAGCTGACGAGGTGGCAGAGCAGAGTTTGCACGACAATGTTCAAGAGGCACACCAAAAAAAACCAAACAAAACAAAACAAACAGGAAAAAAAAAGAAAAAGAAACAAAAATAAAAGACGAATGATGGCAAGATGAAATGTGGCAGATTATGCCAAAGTAAAAAAATGAACATAATGGATTCTAAAATAGACACACACAATTCTCCATCTCTCCCGAGACATTTCTCTGTCCTTCCTTTGAGTTTCATTGGTAAGCAACAGGAAGGAGCAACTATGAACATAGGACAGCAGCTCCTCTAAAACCCCTGTTCCTTAGATAATCTCATTCAACTCAACCTCTCTAAAATCATGTGTTTTCTTCTCATTTAACAGTGGTAAATAGCAATTAACTTCKAACTAGAAGATAAAGTCCCAGTCACTGAGGCAAGTGTTGTGCCAGTGCTACAGTTAGAGCCAACACTTGCAAGAGCCACCAGCTCTCTCCATACAGCAAGGTACTTCCTACCCAACTCTGCATTAGTTCCCTTGTTTTTAGCTAGGCTGTGAGCCCAAAATATTTCTCACAGCAGACACCAGTATCTGGAGAAGTTACCCCAAGAGTCACATAGAGCATTTAAGCTATGTGCCCTCATATAGCTACTTGAATATCTAATCAGGCAAATTTTGTTTTTCAAACAAAAAAACTGTCTTGTGCTGAAGACCAACACCCCTAAAAGAAGGCTGCTGGTTTTCATCCCCTGCTTGCTTCTTTCTATCTGCTAAAATAGGACCAAAAAGAAAATTGAAATTAATATCATAAAGCTAACTACAGGAGCAAATGCCCTTGAGGTTGGTGGCTTCTGGGCAATGCAGTAAAGGGTCTCTCGGGGCTAGGTCTACCTCCTTGTACCAAAGTACCCAGGGACGTAGAGCCACCTCCTTGGCAGCAGCCACAGGAGCGCCCTCTGCTACCACAACCATCTGACCACTGGTCATGGTTTCCCTCAGTCTTTGTAGACAGTCAGTGAGTACAGAAACAAATGAGGACAGTGACATTAAGCAGACCACCTCCTCAGAGGGCAAGCATTTTTTATTCTTTGATAGGTCTTACCATAGCAGACTTAGTGCCTCATACATACAGCACTAAGAATTACAAAAAAATGCTGCCCTTGCCATCATGGCAAGGGGTCTGTACTGTCTCAGAGACAATGCACCCCTTCCATTATCAAAATTATGTAATCATTGTTTTATTCACAAACTCCTCACAGCTACACTATCTGAACATTATTATTCAGGTTTAATAAGTACAATAATCTAAGTACAATAGYTGTACTTAGATCACCGGAATTTTTCAAACACCCAAGCTGTCTGAGCAAGAGCTCTCAATTTCCTGTGCTTTAGTCAATGCACTGGCAAGTTCACTGTTGGAAGAGATGGAGGGACACCATCTGGGATCAACAACAACTCCACCCCAGTCAGACACGAGACAATGAAACCCAAGCACCCAGTGAAATGCATCGTCCCTTTGCCAACAGATTCCAGCACAAATTACAGTGATATTAGTAGAGAGCTAGCTGGTTAGTCAGCAAAGGAAGAGGAAATGTGTACACRCACACAGGTATTAACAGCAACCACCAACTTGATTAGTTACCATGGTGTCTAGTGGGACTGGAAGAGAAGACCCAGCCCTGTTACATTCCCAATCTGGCGTCTATATCAGGATCTCTGTAAGGAGAGGAAGGTAAGCAGGATCCGATCCCAGCACACCAAGGCAGAAAGAAAAAACAAAACAAAACAAAAAAACACCGAAGTCAGAGCATGAATGGAGACCGTGGCCATGCAGGGGTTCCAGATGCCACGCAGGGCCCCAGCCYACCTCAGTTCAAGGCAGAATGGTTATCTAAGAGTAAGTGCTTCTCTCYACCACCACCACCACACACCGGGTTAGCATCATGTAGAAGACAGTCCATAAGTTTGGAGGGGGTCACAGCACACTTGGTTTCTTTCTACACATCATGCAGAGCTGGCATGGTCAGTGAAAGCAGGATTTAAACCTCAGAGATTACTTTCCCAAGAGAGTAGTTAAATCTGCTATAAGAAATCACAGTGCATGAACTACTGCTCCAGGCTCAGCACCAACATGTGTCCTTCAGCAGGAAGACACTGGAGAGCAGCTCAGTGGGAAGCAGGGCAAGCAGGCCACCTCAGGCACACTGCTGGTGCATAACACTGCAGGGTTCTTTTCAATTCTTAGGGGAAGGACACATGCAGAAAGGGAAAACCAGGCTTTCCATACAATTTTGAGCACACGCAGCCACCCTTGCTGTATTTAGCCTTACCATTGGGCAATAGCCAACTCACTTTTTCTAAGCTCTCCAACTGGGAAAAGGACAAAGTTTAATTTGGAAATCCCCACAAGCTTATTTTTGGAGTTATTTTCTCTTATCCCACAGGCAAGCCAAAGAACCTGCAATAAGCAGGAATATTTTTTGGGCAAAGAACAGAAGAAACTTAAATTGGGGTTGTTTCTAAGACTACATACATAATTTTCATTCTTTCTTAGAGAAGCAAATTACTGACTGATTAGAGGGGAGAAAAAAGGAAGCACCTCCTCCACCAGCAGCAAGCTTCATCACCACAGGACTCTAGTCTGTCTTTGTCAGTTCTTGTTACGTTTTCATATGCCACTCAAAGAATTGTGCTTCACTTTGGAGTTACTTTCCTAACACGAAAAACTCCACAGGGATGGTAACAATTAACAAAAACCAGACAGTGAATGAGAATGGATGCAGAGTGGCTACTCCTTCTTTTTTTTCCAGAGTGGTGATGAAGRGGGTTTTGGAAAGTATATTCCAGGTTTAGGAGCCAGACACCGGCAACAGAAAGATCCAGTCCTAATCTCAACACACAGCATTCCTTAAAAAAACATGTGTGGTGCTTTTCCTTCGGAGGTGGTAAGGAAAGTAGAGCTGGAGGGCAGGGGAGCAGACCAGAGCTAGGGAATCTTGGATTAAATGCTCTAAGGGCATATATGCTTGTGGCTAGGAATAAACTTCCAACACTTAGGGTGCAACTCATGGTCAGTAGGTTTTTTCAAGCACAGTACAGAGGTAATCACTAAAGGCAGATGGCCAGTGTCCCATATGACCATACCTATCTCCAGCCATGGTTGCCAAGGCTTGGCTRAAACAACTCCTACCCCCCTTTAAGCCCTCCCTCTGCTCCTGCTGCTGCTCCTCACATCAGCCACAGGTGAGGAGGGAGATCTCTTACCCAGAGTATCGTTTTTTAGAGTTGTTCTTTCTGATGACAAGACACACGACAATAGAGATGAGCGATGAGAGACCTGTAACCGTACCGATGGCTATCCCTGCCACGGTGGCAATGGGGAACGCAGGCAGGCTGTCTGCGGAGAGAAGGGAGAAAACATTCAACTCTTCTGCATTCCCTGCTCAACACAAATGCAGACCACAAATGCCCTTGAGCCTGGATTCGTTTAGAGCAGAAGGCACTAATGTAATCCCCAGAAATTAGAGCATGCAGCCTAAGTGGCAGTAGGCAGCCAGCAGAGGAAGAATGTAGGAACTGAGCACACACCAGGAGTGTTCTTAATGTCACCGTCCTGCAGGAGAGAGCTCCTGTTGAGCCAAACGTTTTTACATGTCAGGGAACACAAGTGACAATGAGGACAACCCTGTCTCATTACGTATCTGAAGGGGAGGAAAAAACAGGTTACAGCCATCTGGCAATTCCCAGCGAGGTCAACAGGAAAAGGCAGGCATGCTTGAAAGCAGATTTGAACACAGCACATGGCTAACCCACTAGAAGTGCTGAAGGCTGGGTGTTCTCCAGGGAGAATGCAGCACACAGCAGAGCTCCTACCCAGGATCACTCTTAGCAGTGTTTATATATGACTCCAGCATCTCAAAATACAGCCCTGTACATTTTTCTAAACTCTTTTTTTTTTCTCCCTTCTTAAAGGATCAGGATCATTGTAAAATACCAGAAACACTAGAGGAACACAGTATTGCTTTACTCACGTTTTCCCTAATATTATTTTGGGGGAGAGTAGGCCAAAAAAGAGCAGCCAGAAACAAAAGCCAATCAGAGAATGAGTACAAAATACTTACAAGTCAAAGAATACACATAATACCATTACAGTTTTCCCAGTAGGAAATAAAGTCCCTTCCTTCCCCCCATATCATGTTTAACACAAGGAGCATCTCAGGCCAGAGGTTTTTTTACAAGACTCTATGCTACACTAGCTACTTGCACCAAATACAAGTGAATTAGGAAAAGATCCAACAGGAAAAACCTACAAAGAAAAACCTATCTAGAAGAATCTGTCTCAGAGACTTGTATCTGATCATCACAGTATTGCTGAGGCTGAAGGGATGTTTTGAAATTGTCTAGTCCAAACCTCTGCTTAAGCAGGGCCAAGTAGCACAGYTTGCTCAATACTCTGTCCACTTTTGATTTGACTGTCTCCAAGGATGGGAGACTTTACAGGCAACSCAGTCCAGTGGTCAACCACCGTAAAAATGTGGGGGTTTAAGTTCAGACAGAATTTTCTATGTTTCAATTTAGGCAGATTATCTCTTGTTCTATCACTGACTGAGCCTGGCTCAGACTTCTTTAGGTGCTATCAGTGTACATAAACACCTGGTGAGAGGATTTCAAGCCTTTCTTTTTCTTCTCTTTTGCAGGCTAGATCACCCCATCTTTCCTGCAGGCTACACAATCCCAGCTGCCTCCATTTCTCTTCATATGAAAGGTGGTACAGTCCTTTAACCATCTCTGTCACCCTTGGCTGGACCCATTCCAGCAGGGACCACAGACCAGCAGCATCCTGAAGCAGGGGCATCATACTAAAYGAACAGGGCTTACATTTAGTCCTAYTCCTTTTAAATTCACTGACTTTCAGCAGAAGGGCTACCTGACCTCTGGCTGTTTCACTGATCRTAACATCATTCAGCCAAATATCACATCCACAGCTTTCCTGGCTCTCCAGTGTCAGATGCCGCTTCACAGGAATACGGGACTTCAGTCTTAGCAAGAAATAAAAAATGAAGATATGAATGCCATAACTTAGAGGAAGACATTCTTTTCAGAACCCTTTAGCAGTCCAGAGATCCATCTGCTATTAAGGAAGAAAGTCCTACAAATGGTCTTATTTTTCAGATACGTAAGATGTGGTTGTATTTGAGCYCCATGCAAAAAGGAAATAACTTATTTTGAGGCACATACAGAATTCCCTAGTTTCTGTGCTTTTTACCTTTCCAGAAGTGGAGGAATAACTATCTGCAAAAGCATCAAAACAGACAGCCAGACCAGCTGTTGCCTTGTACACCTTATCGGAGCAAGAAAGCAAGCTGACATTCCAAAACTATAGTGAAGAATATCTGCTGAAAGAATGATATTAGAACTCTGATAATTTTGTCGCTTCTTTGACTCATGTAGGATTTTTTGGTTACTTTGGTTACTGACGGACAGCAGTTACATTCTGTTAACAAAGGTTTTTGGGACTGCATAAAAAATACTAGTGTTTGCATGTGAAACTAAGAGTCTGGYTTTACTGCTTCTCAGAACATGGTGCCTATTTTTTTCCTGTATTTTCATTATTCCACAGTTAAACAAATTCCTCATAAGCACTTCCAGAGCAGCCAATGACTTAATTGTAAAAGACAGTCCCAGCTACATAACCAAACATCAGCTCTGAAAGCCAACATTTAACATTCAACACAAATCAAAAATCCAGCCATTCAGAGAACACTGTTCACTAATTATCACTGAAATTCAGAGCCATTTCCCTTTCACTAAAAGCTAGTTAGTATCAGTTTTATGAAAAAGGCAGGAAAGTGAAGTTTCCATTGCTCCTAAGTGTAAAGATTTTCATACCATGCTAATTTTTCTCTCCATGTGTGTTCAGATCAAAGATGGATCACCTCCACATAACACAAGCTCTCTTGAACAGTGTTAAGCAGCTTCTCATTACAAGTAGAGTCAGTCTAATGTAAGAACCTGGAATTCCCTACAAATTTCTGTTGTTTAGGCTTTGAATAGTAGTCCTTTCCTTATCTCGTCCCATGACCACTTCATTACATTTTTTTTCTCTCCTCTGCCCAGCTGTGGTAGGGGAGAGAGAAGGAATGGCTGTCGTGGGTGCCYGGCATTTGGCCAGTTTCAAACCATGACAATAGTAAAAAACAACATGCGCAAGAGTCATCACGTATTTATTCCAATTGAAAAAATTGCTCCAGCTCATTTCAGAATGAGCAACCTTTTACAAGAGTAGTATTTTCAGGCAAAGCTGAAATTCGAGACAGCACTACAGTTACAGCTTGTTTTCAGAGTCTTCCTAAGAATTTTTCCGATGGTAAGAAGCATTTCAAATACAGGGCTCCCGCCAGACCCGCTGAGATTCTCTTGCCCAGTTGATCCATCTATGGGGAAGCCAGCATGCAAGTCTGTTGAAAAATATCAGCTGAATTAGTCTACTGAAGTCAGTCTTCATTTGCTTAACCTGGGTTAAAATCTGAAGAGGCTTTGCCAAGACAGCCTGATTTTGCCAAACCAGCTGCTGCTTTACTGGTTCTTCACTGTCAATATATTGTAAGGAAATAAATGGACCCTATTTTATGTAGGCTTCAAATTTCCAAGAAACAGAAAATTCTAAGTGATGATTGGACCTCCAGAGGTCCCACCCAACCCAAGCTGTTCCATGAAGAGAAAAGTGAGATACAGACCTTGCCAACATAAGAACACGGAATAACCTCRTGAGCAGGGGTGCCCACCTGTACAGCAGCAGTATCATTTCAATTAGAACACATAGGCAGGTGTCTTCCCTAATATATTAAAATCTATGGACCACCTGCATCAGCACTTGTAGTTCATTCTTGTCCTTTCTAAATTATAAATTTGGAAATGCAATCACTGCAATCACAGTGAATCCTTTCATTACAGGAAACATCACATTTTGGATGACCCCCAGCTTAGGTAGAACAATCAAATGTTTTGGATGAYCATGGGAAATGAAGAGCCAAATTGACAAACAGAATCTAAATGCTCTTGAACTGTGACAGATGTTATCAAATGCTAACCGGAAGCCTCACATGACTGCAAGTAACCAACCCCTGAAGTTTGTAAGAGCCTCCATGGATAGGTTAGGAACATCTAAATAAGAGACTGAATGCACATCCAATACAAACACCTTTGCATGGGAGACAGTAGCATTTCACTTCCTGTCAGTATGCTTGGGCCAGATTTATAATTTTATATTCCATTATATATACCCGAAGGGTTCCAAAAAGAAGAGTCTGCTATTTTTTCTCCCTGCTCACTGGATTTCRTAAATCATTCTAACCCTTTATGAAGCATAGTACAGGAAATATATTCACAGGACTTCAAAATGAGGAGATGTGTTTTCATCAAGCCTTCCATCAGCTTTTGCTAGTAAGTGTTTAAACCACAGAAATTAGTAGGCATAGAGGAAAAGGGTATGACATACAGTTTTTAAACAGCTGACASATACTGGTTCCATTATTAGGACCTGGAAGAAGAGAATTTAAAAAACAGTTGTTCCCTCCAGGCTACTCCCCCACCCCCAATAAAAGTGATAAGGAAAGGGGGGTAAAAAAAAAAAGAAGGAAAAAAATTTATATTAGGTGAATACCTTTCTCCACAACTCTAACTCGGATTTCTCCTGGTTTGACAACAATGTCAGGTGGGTTCTTGACATCGCAAATGTACGTGCCGTTGTCCCGGAACTGCATGTTTGATATAGTGATAGAAGCATCTTTCTTGTTAAGATCTCCAGCCCAAGTGATCCTGTCTTTAAATGGTATGTCCTTTCCAGGGTATGACTTTCCATTAGAGTAATAGAAAAACTGCGGTGAAGGAAAAGAGGATATAAGAACAATCCAATTAGTGATTATGGAGCYACCGTGCTTCTCTCACTATTGCAGCATTCTCCCAGAATTTATTGTGCTATACACAGCCAATATTGGAGATTTTTCTCATCCTGCCTTACCACTTCAGTTTGCCTTGTTGCCTCTTGATCACATTACAAGCCATAGCATGGTTCCTCAACCATACCAGCACAAGAGACTGCAAGTTTTAGTTTTCTGTTGGTTTTGATTTGTTTTGTGGTTGGATTGGCCGTTTGGTTTTTTTTTTCAGTTTTGCAAGGAACAGAGTTTTGCAGATAAGGAGGTGGGATAAAGAGAAAAAACTTGATAACCTGGTATTAATTAAAGGATAGAACAGTTCTGGAACACAGCCATCTGTCTTGCAGGCACAGGAAGCTGCCTGCATCCTAGCAGAAAAAGGATACCAAGTTCCCTATCTTGTGTTTTGCTGTGTTTTACTTGCAACTAAAGCACAGCTTAATTAACATGCAATACTCTCCCTTCCTTTCCACCCCCTCAAGAAAATCCCATGACCAATTTAGAGTATATCTAGCTGTTTTCCAGAAACTTTCAGGTAACTAAATATAACTGTTTCCCAGTTTTAGGTGACTAAGCTGCACATTGGCTCTGCACTCCCTATACATGACCAAACCCTTTGAAGAATAAACAAGTTTAGTACAGACTAAGGTGCAACTGAGTATTTCCTAACTACACATGCCTAAAATTGGAATTTACAGTATTAGAAGTGCATAGACTTCTACAGGACACTTCTGCTTTCAAACACATTCCCTAAGAGAAGCATCAAGGCTGCAGGAGAATTRCAGGAGCACATTCTTTCTTAATTGGATATCCTGCAAGACAGCAAGACAAACTTAATCAAGAATCAACTTGAATTCCCTTCAGTTCAGTCTCCAGAGAATGATGAAAGAAATTTAAGACAATGTTCCAGCTTCCTCTTTCTACTGCCTTATTTACAAAGCAGTGTCTCTGCAACAGAACAGACTGCCTACAAGACAGTCATATTTCCATTCAAGTCATCTCCTATCCCTTTTCCTTTTCCTGCCCTTGATCTCAGGCTTGCTATTCCAACACCCTCTCTATCAGACCTGCACCCTGAGTATCAGGCCTGATCATTTGGTGGCACAAATCTTGTCCAGATCAGGTATGTGCACATCATGGCCATCTGTTGTGCTGCAGTCAATCTTATTTGTTGTCTGCAGATTAATAYAAATCCAACAAACTACTTCATGTACTAGAAAGTTGGCTAGCAAACAGTCAGCTGTCAGCATTTTGGAGGGACTCTGCATCRGTCTGCAGCTTTTCCAGCTGGATTGTAGCCTTTAACACAGAGGCACCGCATTACCACACCCCTGTGCACAGGGGAAGTCACCCCACTGGAAGTTTAGAAGTCCAGAGGCATATTCCTCAGGTCTCYAGATGTCCTCACCTGGGGGAGGACAAATCACAAAGTCAAATACATCTGAAACACAAGCTAAGTGATTAAAGCCATTCCTTGCCTATGGTGGAGTGATTTAATAGGAGACTTCCTTTGMAACCTGAATCTGATGGATTCAGACTGGTTTAAGTCAATTATGAAACTCTGCTGTGATCAGGTGTTTCATTCATGCAGAAGTGTCTGTCGCTGGACATGTGGCAAGGGGAGGGGACAAGCAGGGGAAGCTCTCAGTCAAGTCAGCCTCACCACATGGCCACAAGATGGGCAATGTGATTCTAAAGGGGCTCAGGACCATCCTTCTCAAGAGAAGCATGGGCTTAGCTCAGACGTAAGCTGATCATGAGACTGATCTTTCAAATTAACACCCACCAAGCTATGAAATGACATAACCTGGGCTCATAAATAAAATCCCCAGACCCTCAAAACAAACAGGGAATTAACATCAAATTGTGCTGGGTCACTTCTGCTCAAAGATTATTTGCTTTTCTCTTAGTTGTGCTGATAACTACATCGAGGTAGACCATCTGAACTGATTTCACTTAATAAAAATGTTATGTCCTGAAGCTGCATTCCTACAACCGGACAGTGATGCAGAAAGGGAATGGCAAAACAGGATATATGGGGAGAGGAAAACATACAAACAGATGGCTTCTCTTCACCCATCCTGTTCCACACTGGCAGGAAATATGCCCCATTTCCGTTAGCTTCTGCCCAGCTACTGCTTTGGATTCCCAATGGGAAGAGCTCCCTCTTCAAAACYAAATATTTATTTCACTGAGAAATGAGAAGCTTGTTCTTTAGAGCTCTATATATCAAGCAAGATGCTCACACACTGGTTTTGATCATCTCGGCTCTAAAAAGCTCCTGAAGTTTAAATGATCTCAAGTCTGAAGTAGAGGGGAGGAGACAAACACAAACAGGCTGAGCAACCCGCTGTCCCCACATCTTCAAAGATACCCCAGAGTTCCTTGTTCTGCTTCCTCTAAATCTCACTCAGGACAAGGAACAAGAAAAAAGCTGAAGTGTCTGAGGAAGGAGAGAGCTATCAACCTATCAAAGCCATTTCTTTGAAGGTTCACAWGCTAAGGATCTGAGCCCACTTGGGCCCAACAAACAGGAACTGAGCAATGTCAAATAGTTCCTTGCTAGTCTGTCYTTTTACTCGTCAAGTAACTATGAGGATGTAACTGCTTACTGACAATTCTGTTCTGAAATCAGGCAGACTGGTCTTACTTTAAATCCTTTCAAACAGAGGCCATACAATACACAAGCAAAATAAACAACATGCACAATACACAATGTAACACTGCAGTTACAGTGGTAATTCAAATTCTGTGACTGCTATATTCAGCCAAATGCAARAGGATAGAGGATTTAGAAGATTCCTAGATGCTCATCTACTTCATACATACAGCTTCCCTACCAACACCCTTCTCCTGAGACTAAGTAAGTAACTTGTCCACTTTGTGGTCACTGCACACTCCAGTCTTGGCAGAGATCTAGCAGCTGCAATATTTGTATACCACTCTAAAAACRCCCCCTAAAATCACAGTGATGGAGATAAGATACATGGAAGGAGGCTCCAATCCATATTTGCTTACTCCTTAGAACCAAGCAGAAGACCACTGGACACCTATTCCAACCTCCCCTCCCAGGTTTGTTCCACTCCAGCCATTCCTTACGGAGATACGAGTGGCTGCTCCCTCTGGYTGAAAGCTCCAGGAGACAGATGCTGCACTGCTGATCACTTCTACAGATGTGAATGTGCATGGGAGCTTTGCGTCCGTCCCGTTCTCCACAAACATCTCCTCCGGCGTGTTGACCTCTACTGCTGATACTTGGACTGCATAGGAAAGGTAAAAACAAGAAAGGAGGAGAACAAGAGACATCAGTGCTAGTTTTGAGAACCAGGAAGTTCACACCACACTGCCCAGAAGGSGAGAAGAGGCATCAGTAACTCCGACATCAAGTGTTTGAACAGCCATTGCATTATACCTGCAATCAAACAAGCACAGAGCAGGCCAAGTACATATTCACTTCTCCTTCCTTGTATTATCTGTGACAGGATGTTTTCTGCCCACAGATGTTTCCTCTATAACACTTTGTGGAAGTCAATTCCATGGTGCAAAGGATGAGTTTAAAACTCTTTCATACAGGCTGACATCAGGCATTGTAATAATTAAACGCCATCAGAGGAACTAACAACCTGGACCAACTATTACTCAGTTTCCTCTCTGGCCCACATCTTATTTCCTATCTCCAGTTTTTCCTACCTRTAGGTAAAACAAAAGCTCACCTCCAGAAAGCTGAGGAGCAAATTTCTCTCACTCCCAGCTATGGCTTTCTGGCATGGTCCAACATCTGTATGTGCAAGGCCTCATAAATAATCACTCAGTTATAGTTCAGAAGCATGAGAGTAGTTTAATGTTTTTCTACTTTATGCAGTCAAAACAGCAAGCAGACCACTACCATCTCCCAAATTTAAAGTAATCAATGTTGATATTATGCTGTACTGGTAGTTTTCCTACCAAGTAAGTGACAGTCATTGTGATTCGGAGAACCTGTTGAAGATATTTTTTATAGACACCTTCTAAACTGCCAACAGCCTATCCAGATTTAAGCAGATACATCTCTACATTCATTCAAGTTTATGTTAAAAAACTAAGCATGATCTTGTGACATCAMAAGAGAATGTCTGACARCRTTGATGTCATATCCACGAGAATGCAAAAATCTTGTAAAGTCAYTGTGGGTGGGTACACATGTGACACGTGTCCCTGGTACCTCAGATGTAAGTTTTGATTTTTATTAAACCTTGCTTTTCCGTATTGAGATGGTAATGGCAACCTACTTCTGTTTATATGATTCTATGTTTCTGGGCTCCAACATCTTAAACCCCCTTCTTAGAAGAGGAGAACAACCATTCCTGCTTCATCAGTATCTCAGCTGATTGTTTCTTAGCTTTGAATAAAGTAGCTCGAAGTGGGCAAACGAAACMGAATGCAACAGATGCAAGTAGAAGACTGTTCAATTAAAAAGAGAGAAAAGAAAACCCCACCTATATTAGTCCTTAMATCATGGAGTCTGTGCTTTTAGTTAGTGAGAGCAACCAGCTCAGCAGCCTTCAGAAGTTAGAGAGCAAATGTCTGATTGAATGAGTGTGCAAGCAGAGGTGGGAGAATTGAGCACATCACTTTAATTACAATAACCAAAACTAGAAGAAACAACCATTCATTATTTCTGCTGTTTAGAGCTCACACTATTCACTTCCAAAATTCACAAACTCCTCAGTCCCATCAAGTTCTCTCTAACCCCTTGGACACTCCTGTAATTACAGCTCTCATTYACAAGAGGAAAAGCACCCTAAGTGAGGTGGGGAGTAGGGGTGGTGAATTTTGCATCACAAGGTTCTTCTATCAGAGCTTCTTTTCTCTTCTACATACTCTGATTATGGGCCAAAAATATTCTTCAGTAAAACAACTACCAAATATTTATTTGGAACATACAAAGACTTCTAGCAATCAAATTAAATGAACTCAGAACTGCTGTGCTTTATGTATTTTTTCCAGCTAATGGTGTAGAAAAGAGAAATAAAATAAAATAAAATCCATTGTTTTGAGTCCAAACCACAGAACAAACCTTCCTTTCAAGCATAAAACAAGCAAGATGCCCTCAGTATTTGTGTAGGAAGAAAAGAGTCTGCACAGACATTGCCTGCTTGTACATGGTACAGAGAACTCCTTGCCACACACAGGCAGTGGGTAGTACAGATCTGCCTAATCTAAAGAAGTCACTGTTCTAACTCACTATAACTGTACTGCACAAAAAGAAAATAAAACCAGCAAAAAAAAAATACTTCTCCCTACTTCTTCCCTGGTCTGGGAAGAAAGGAACTATGTAATACTGTACAGATATTCATATGAAGTTTAATTTTTCATCTGTCCCATTGCTGGTTCAATTTCATGGGGTTTTTTGCTCATTTTCTCCCCTCTGCCTCTCTCATTGCTTCAAAAATATTTTTCCTGCTTCTGTTGCCTTATAGCATGAGACACAGACTCCTTAAATCATATTCTAACTGTTKAGTAGAAGCCACCACACTTGTCAGCTGTTCACCCTCAGCCCTCTAATCCCACAATTGTACTTGCATGGTGGCTGTTCTCAGTACCTTTAGCCTCCTCTGTCACAATAAAACCCACATGGATCAAGTCCAGCTCCAGCTCTTTTCCTCCTCTTTCCACATTTACCAGCATTACATCYACCTTCCAGCTCCTCCACCTATTTAAATATTCCAGTTGGAGCAAGTTGAATTTTGAGTCATATTTCAGTCACACCCACTACTCTATTCCTCAAGCTTACTCAGCCTTAGTCCCTCTCAAGAGGAAAAAAATTATCACAGGAAACTGTGGGATAAGAGTACTTTAGGAAGAGGGAGAAGAGYACTTTAGGAAGAGATGGTCTGCAAGGTATATAGGGTAAAAATAGACATTTGCTCTCCTCCCATGCATCCTTCTTGATCCCATCACCCTGTCCAACTGCCCATAGTCCCCATATTTCCTTCTGAACATCTCATCTAGCCTTYAGCTGTTTTTATTCTTCTTTGCAGCAGAAAAATGCTTCCATTTTTCCAACCTATCATCAAAATAAATTGAAAAAAAACCCACCTGTGTCTCTTCAGCTATTTCTTTTAAATCTCTAGTGCTGCTGCACTGACATGAACTCTCTCCAGCTCAGTTTTCAGTCCCCACACTTCATTGAAAACTCTCCATCCAGATCTTACTTTTCAGACAATCCTTCTACTCTAGGACAACACACTCATATTCTTACTAACTTACTAACCTTTCTAATCTGTTCTTATTTTCCCCATCATGGATCTTCATTCTTCATCAACGCTCTCTCTATTCTCAGGTCCCTCTTTCCTCGGTATCTTGCCTCAGAGATCTCATCTGCAAAACAAGTTCAAGCTCCCATCACTGCACTGACTACTCAGATCCGCATCTCTGCTCAGGATCTGTCTCCTTACGTTCAAAGAACAGCCTCAGTCTAACATTTTTGTCAGTGCTAAGTTGTTAGCTCACACTAAATGGGACTAAAGTGCAGTTCATTTCTTCCCCAGAGCCCTACACAACTGTTTTTATCACCACAGACCTGCCACGTGTCTCTCCAACTCAACACCTGCACAGCACCTCTGACTTTGAGCTCTTCCCAGGTCAAGGCAGCRTCTTTCAGAGTTTCCAGTCACCTGTTCAGCTGACACCAGCCTAAAACCTCTATTTTTACCTTGGCCCACATTATTGCCATGTCCTTTTTGCTCTGGACAGATGGACAGTAACAGACCAGTAAGTACTGCAGTTCCTGGTAACCAAGCTGCTCCAAGGGTGACACCAATAAGAGGGAGACTTCTCCTATGCAAGATCACTGCTTCCTTACATAAAGCGACTATTGACGATGTAGTACTCAARACAGGCTTGCCCAGAGCAAGCAATATTCATTATACTGCACTGCCACCTAATAATCAAATTTAYTGACTTAACACTTTTAGCTTCCTTGCCGTGAATGAACAGGAACTTCCTAACTGTGACGGTGCAGCTCTCTCCAGAGCTTATGCAGATTTGAAGRTGCAGAGCTTCCTGGTTCCCCTGTAAACCACCACCACGTCTACCAGGGTACACAAAACCAGCGACAAAACTTTCAGATAATGCAGCCCTGTCCCAGCTCACAACCCCCAGGTACTGTGCCATCAGTGGGACTCTTCAGAGTGGCAATCACACACTGCTCTGAACCAGCCCTGTGGAAGAAGCCTTTACAGTTACCAAGCAGCAAAGTATGGAAAGGTCATTCAGAATAATACAGACAAACATTCATAACCACAAGAGTTTGCATCTAGTTAGTTAACCAAACTGTGATTAAACATTAGCTTTCAGCGAGTTTAAGGGCAGCCAAGCACACTGTTTTCACCACAGTAACATGAAGGACTGCAGCATTGCACTAGTAAGTGGATTTAACTGATATCTTCGAAATGCAGTACAGCTTGATCAAAAAACTCTTAGAGAAGATGCTCAGTTGCTGTCCCCAGCACCCTGATGGGAATTCTCCTCACAGGTATACTCTCCAGGACATCTCTGTCCMGCTCAGTCACACAGGCTGGCACCTTGACCTGCACAGGAGACACAGCCTCTGTGACYTTACATGTCAAACAAACCCTGGATCCTTCCTTCCCCTTGTCCACTGCTACTGAATGTGTCCATTCAGAGCTTGATTAAACACAAAGATATCCACACATCATGGTACACTCCCCTCCAGAAACAATGTACAAGTTCATKAGTTGACACAAAGGGTTAGAGACATTCACCCAGGCATGGCACAGTACTTTAAATGACACCAAGCACCCACCCCTGTTTCAGTATGAAGAGACTYTTCTCCCCAACCACATTATAGTATTGGACTCATCCAAAACTTTTCAAATCCATACTTAAGCACCTCCTCCTAAATGCTGCCCCTCAGGCCTGGGGGGATCTGCTCAAAACCTGTAAAATCCTTTCACTTCCTTTGAACCTTCCAAAGCATTTGGCAACTGCATCTGCATAAAGTGCCTAAGCTGCCAGGGCCTGAAGATCAATGCTTTTTAAAACTGAAGACATCTTTTGCTACTTTCACTTGTATCCCCTGGCCMCTTACACTTGCCTCATAGTGATTACAAAAATATTTTGGGCAAGAATTGTTTTTATTCTACATTTTTTTATGTAGAAGTATGGTTGACCATTTGGTTTGGTAGCACATCACAAGGAAATCCTTCTTTGCATTGAAGTTTTACACTAATTAACACATRGCTAATTAAAATCTCTTTGTAGACCACCGTTTCTACTGAAATCTGGGATCCAATGAAAAACTTCTGTTAATTAAGGCTGTGAACACACCAAAATAAACTCAATTCCCCTGGATTCAACCCGACCTGGTAACTTGACTTGATACTAGGAGACCTAACAAACCAAGAATGCAAGCAGCTAA